GTTCGGTTCCTGGTACCGGAGAAAAACCAAAAAAAAAAAAAAAAAAAAAAATTCATACCCTGGCATAGAATTCTAGTATTATTCTAATAGTTGTGTCAGACATTTCCTTTTTTTCTTAAAAAGCAGTGCATGTTTGTGGGGACTGCTTTCCTATCTTCTGACCCCTACCAGGTATCAGGCTTGGCCAGTTGGGCTTGTTCTTTATCTACTTTTCACCTAGTTGGGCTGTTTCTTTCCTCAGTCCCAGCTGCCTCAGTTTTGCATCTATGCCTGCTCCAGATTTCCACTTGAGGCACTGGAAATGGTGATGCAATTTGTAAACTGTCTGCTTGGCTTGTACATTAGCTTTGATTTTCAGCCAGTCCCTTAGCTTTTGTAAACCAGCATGTGGACTGTATCTTGCTCAGATGTTGGTCTCTTCAAAAGCACACTTGTTCTTTTAGGATGCTGGCTTTATTTACTGTGATGCTCATGTGACAGTTGTTTGAAAGAAAGGAAATTTTTGAGTCAGTGTAAGGTGTGGCTAACAGAACCTTATTTTAAGAGAACTTCATCAAGGCTTCTGTCTGGTAATGAAATTCAAGACAGCATTACAAATGAGACCCCATTAAAAATAAAGGGACAATCGTCACACATAATGGTGTCTCTTTATGAGTTTAGATGCAATTATTAATGAGACAGCTTTCATCATATTAATGAAAATCAACAGATACGTTGCCTGAGGAGCTTTGTGTGGAGCTTATGTTTGAAAGGAACTGTTTTTCAAAGGAATTAGAGAAAGACATAGATTCATTGTTATTTGGGTTGTTTAGAGATCTTGAGGAGTTTGTCTGTTTCCTTAAATTATGTAATGTTTAAATTTAATGTTCTAGCTACAACTAATTAGTAAACATCAATTTGTAACTCATTTCAATTATTTCATAACAGTCTCCGTTTCTTCTTCCCATCTTCAGGGAATACCCAATTATATGTCAGTGTCTGTGTTAGTCAGTTCTTTGTCAATGTGACTAAATACCTGAGAAAAACAGTCTAAATGAGGAAAAGATTGTTTTGATAGGTGGTGTCTGTTCGTGGTTGACCAGCTGCCTTATTTTAGGGCCCTGGCAAGGCAGCTGCATCATGGCAAAAAGGTGGCAGGAGAAAGACACTCACCTCATGGCAGCCAGAAAATTGACCAGCCAGAAAATTATTTAGCTCACAGTGAGGGAGGTTTCAGTCCATACTTGGCTAGCTCCAGAGCAGGGTGGCACATGGCAGAGGGCAACAGTTCATGGTGGTGATGGAAAACAGCAAAGCAACAAGAGCAAAAAGGGAGGAGCTGCAAAGAGTAAGCCACTTTTCCTCCCTTATATTGTATGCAGGCTACCCGCCCTAGGGCGGGTACAGCACTTATACCTGTAATCCCAGCATTGGACCATGAATCAATCACAAACTCTAGAAACCCAACCCCATGATTGCATGAGGCTATGGAGGGACATGCAGACACAAACCACAATACCCTTCAAAGGCCCTCAATCACACACCTCCTTCAACTGACCCAACCTATTGCTCAGTCAGCTATCTCTATCAGTGGATTAATTCATTGATGAGGTCCATGCCCTCATGACCCAACTTCTTCTTTAGGATGACTGTGACTGCACTGGTGATCAAGCCCTCAGAGTGAGTCTTAGAGGGACTCCTCATATTTAAGCCATAACAGCATCCTTTTGATGGTATTTGATATGAGTAACTTGTGAGGAAAAGGATTTTGAATCTAGCATGAGAGTTACAATTTTTACTTCTTAGTGTATGGAATGACGACACTGAAATTATTGTTGGCCTAAGATAATACTTTGACTTGGGGGCTGAGCAAACATTTGCTCAGATATTATTTTGAGATAAGTTGTTGAAAGTATACATACCATTTATTATTGAAAGTGCGTTACAGAATCTGTAGTTTTTCTTTAAAGCGCTCTGTAGTTGAAATAAGTGTACTATTTTCCTGCTTTTCTTTTTGGTTCTTTAGGCAGCAGGAGCAGTTCGACCTCTTGTGTCTACCGTCATCAGTCCCTCTACTGAAGGTTGCTTAGACCACTCGTTAGAACGTGCCAGATACAGAGCAAGTGAAATGCCACAGGCTTTTCTATTTGATGTCATCTATGAAGCCTATCAGCAGGTAAGAATCTTGAGTTTTGAAGAAGCTCATATTACATTGTACTTCCTGAAAGCAGCTACACATTTGGGGAATTTCTAAGAAAACACATGGTACATAATTGTACTTTTAGGCTAAGATTTATTGCAATGTAGTTAGTTGTAAGAATATGCAGCTTTATCAGAGGAGCTATACAGACAGTCTGAAGGAATCCATTTGGAGGTTTCCTTATCCTCTTTTCTCCCCTAATAGGACACAAGGCCTGCTGTATTCCAGAGAGAACACAGGAACATGTGTGCAGTGTTTCTCCCAGGGACGCCCTTTAGAGACTTAGCGCACAGGTGTTTATTGGGGTTGGTTGCATAGACACCCTCTGGCTAGCATGTACAAACATTCCACATTCTCTGAAGGAAAGCAGATGTTCAGCATAAACAGTGCTGTGTATGCAGACAGTCCGGGTAGAGTGAACCATTCCTATCCGTTAACTCCCAAATGCTGACCTATGGCCTTTCTTGGAAACAGGTCTTCTGAAGGACAGCAGTCTCAATTTTACTATGGTAAATGTTCTGCATAGCTACTTAGACATCTTAGTTAAAATTTTAATTAAAGATAAGTAATTTCCTAAAGTTGTCAAAAAGTTTTTCATGTTACTGCTGTATTTTGGGACTTTTTTTTCTTATGTTTGGGAATATTTCCATATGTACCTAATTTTATTACAATTTATTTGTGTATTTGAGATAGTTATTGAATGTCATATATTGGGCTTGTCAGGAAACTTCTAAATGCAGTAAGTTAGAGCAACCAGTTCAGTGCTACAGTGATATTAGATAATAAGCAAATAGTCTGGGATAGACTTTTAAGATTACAGGGTAAGGATAATATGAATATTGATATTTATATTAGAAGACTATAAAACTATAATAGGTATAATTTGGACAGAGGGTTATTTACCTACATATATTGAATTATAAATCAATAACCTTGACTCCATCAGCTACTGGTTTAAAGTGAGGTTTATTGAGACAGTATTCAATATGGCTGAATAGAGGAGGAGCCACTTGAGAGCTACTCAGAGAAAATCAAAACACAGGTAATTGGAGGAAAGTGAGGGACATACATCCTGATGCCAAAATCAATCCAAAGTAAGTGACTTGGAGATCAAACAATACATCGACACAGAACTTTATGAAGGTATTATCCACTCCACAGGGCTGCTTGGGGGTTTCCCACCCGTGTACAGAGCAGGTCCAGTATTCTAGGAAATTTTCAAAACACCTGATGAACTGAAACAATGCAGCCAACTCAAGCCAAACAAGATAGATTCGGGATACCAGGCCCCTTGCCTCTTTTGCCTTTCTCCAAACAGAGGACTCTGCAACCTGGCAGAAAATTTTGCCAGTACACAGAGGGGGGAGTAGCCAGGAAGATGCTCCCTTCCTGACTGGCCAGCAGTGTGTTTGCTTGCTTGTTTGTTTTTCTTTATTGCACACCATAGCAACAGACTGGATCCTCTAGGGACAACAAGGTTAGGGGCCACGGTGGCAGTGCTGAAGGTAGTAAGTGGAACAGCATGACCTCTTCTGCTCTACGGCCATCACAGCATAATCAAGTGAGAGGTGTAGATTGCAGACGTGGGATTCAGGTGGCCCTGGGTGAGGAAGTCAGCATCCCAGCAGTGCAAGTAGCCATGTGCGAGGAGGCACAAGGAGTGAGAAGTCAGCACCCTCCGACCCCCTAGAGCAGCATGTGAGAGGAGCCAGCAGTGGGGAACAGAGGAGGCTGCACAAGATCCGGGAGGAGCCTGTGGTACTTGGAACTGGGAGCACCCTCGGGCTGTCTCTGCCTAAGGGTGCCGCTGTACCTGGGAGAGCGATGCTGAGACAGACAGGGTAAGCAGACCTGGACAGGCCGTCCAGAAAGCTGCTGGCCCAGCCCCCACATCTGGAACCAAGATCAGCGCCACACGCAGCACTAGCCCTACTGTAGACTTGGTGGGGTTACCCAGCACGGCTGTGGGCTCTGGCTTGGAAGTCATCTTATTAAAAAGCTTCCGCACAGCAAAAGAAATCACCAAGAGAGTAAAGAGACAACCCACAGAGGGAAAAATTTTTTGCCCCTGCCCCTCAGACAAAAGACCGATATCTACAATATATAAAGAACTGAGAAGAATCAAAGTTCCCGAATTTAAAGACCCAATCCAAAAATGAGCATCTGCGAATAGACACTTCTCAGATGAAGAAATACAAATGGCAAATAAATATATGAATAAATGTTGAACACCACTGATCATTCAAGGGCGGCAAATTAAAACATCACTGTGATCCATCTCAGCCCAGAAAGAATAGCTGTTATCAAGAAATCAACCAATAACAAACGCTGGAGGGGCTGTGTAGAAAAAGGATTCCTTCTCTGCTGCTCGTGGGAGCACAGAGTGGTACAACCGCTGTGGAAATCAGTGTGGAGATTCCTCAAAAGGTAGACTAGAGGTTCCATTTGATCCAGCTATTCCCCTTCTTGGTATCTTCCTGAAAGAATTAAAAGCATCATACCACAGCAATATGACTTCAGTCTTTTAATTATAATTTTTTTATTGCTGTGAAGGCGAAGCTCTGCATATATATGTTCTTTCAATTTTCTGTGTTACTTACAGCTTTCTTCTTCACTTCCATGTCCTTCCTAAAATTCATGTATGGAAATCTAACTTTATGATGGTGTTAACAGGTCGTGGCGTTAGAGATGTTGTTAGATCATCAAGCCTCTGTCCTCATGAGTGAGATTAGCATCTTTGTTTTTTTTTTATTTTAAAAAATAAAAGAAGGAAAACATATTAACAGACAGACATCCATTTACAAAGTAGCATAAGAATAATACAAACAAAACGGAGTTACAGACAAAGTTGTAGGAAATTTACTATGATTGCTGTACTCCTTACTGATAACTTCAAAGTGGTTTCTCAGGAAAACAAATAGAGATATACAAGATTGATCAAACAAGTAATCATTAACTGTTCCTTTCTGCAAAACAATGGAAGACAGTAGTACAACTATGTTAGAGGGGGTAAGCAAGCTGCCATGCACCTCTTTTAACAAAGACGTTTCTTAATCCACTCTGCCAGAAGCATCTTCGTTAAAAGAGGCCCGCGGCAGCTTGCTTACCCCTTTTGCTATGTTAGGACTCAGCAAGAGCTCCATCTACCAGGACATGCCGTCCATAAAGGACTGAGGTTTTGCTAGATACAGAATCTGCTGGTGATTTGTTCTTTGATTTTCCAACTTGTGGGATTGTAATGATCTATTCATAAATTACCCGGTGTGAGTTATTCTGTTATCGCACCGTGGGTAGACTTGACATCTATTAAACTCATATCAATGTCTCTTATTAACACCTCCTATCCATTTTTTTTTCTGAGTGTCTCATTAGTGGTGCTTCTTCTACATCCTAGAGCAGCAATGGTGAACCTACGGCACATGTGTTATTATGTTTCTCTTCTAAGACAAATCCTGTTAATTTGTGCATTGTTTTTTCTAAACTAAAACCTCAGTATTTAGGTTTAGTTGCAGTGTTAGCACTTGGGGATAAATAAATGGGTTCTGAGTTGCAGCGTGGCACTTGGTCTCTATCACTGTCCTGGGTAGTATTCTTTTCTTGGTTTTACACATTGCAAATATCTTCTCTTAACTATTCAATGTTATCTTTAATGTACTTCATTTTAATATAGTAAAATACTGTGAGTTTTAGATCTTAATTTTCCCTTATCCACCCCCTGCCCTCAATACACACGCTCCCTTCCTTCTGCATGGCTATATTTTATTTTACTCTATTGATATTAGGGCTTTTCATTTCACACTTAGGTCTTTGATCCATTATTTTAAAGTGTCTTGCATTACAGGGCTCTTTACCCTCCCTTCAACTTTTATAAAGTGAGTTAGATTTTCCAGCATCATTTATTAAACCGCCTATTCATTTCTGACTACTTTGTGTATCTATTGCGTTGCTATTTGATAATATATACATAGATTTATTTTTGGGTTCATTATCACTGATGTGTTTCCTGTGAAACTGCTGCATTTTTTTAAAAATTACTTTTAAAATGATCTTTTCTGCACAGGTTCCCTAGGAAATAGAGCCTCAGGCAAAGCTTAAATCCTGATGCAAGGTGATAGATATATTACCAGTCTGGCCACTGCTTCACAAACAAACACAGCTGGTCACTTCACACGGGACATATCCAGACAAGTTTACCCAAAACTGTTTGCATTTTTCCCTTCAGTGGTTTGTTCTAAGAGACAGAATTCATCTGCTTGTTACCTCTTAGTTAACATTTCCCTCATAGAAATGAACTTATTCATATATTCTCTAGCCCCTCCAGTAGGCAGGGAAGCCTGATCTCATGACAGGTACTATAGTACTTTACCTGTGGCAAAAAAACAGCTTCAGGGAGAAATTGGAGACCATGGCTTGTGTCCTCAGATACGTGTGGGCCCACATGCAGCCACTTGCTTTGGTGCACAGGGCTGGGACACGGAGGAGACTAAGAGCATCTAGGGCAGCGCATCTTATGTGACTGGTCCACCTTTATTACCTTTCTGCAAATCAGATATCTTAGGTTAAATTCTCTCTGTGTTTTATTTATTGGGATTGGTGGTTTTTGGAATTATAAACTTGGGGATTAAATTGATATCTTCAAGCTTTAAAGTCTCCTTTATAAACATATGTCTTGGATAACTTACATTCTTTGAAAGACTTTATTGTGTATTTTTAGCAATTTTTTAACTATATTTTTAGCTGCTATGTAGCATTCTGATACTTATTAGGTGTTTTTGTTTGCTATATTGAGCACGTAGCAGACAAATTTCTTGAAAACGTGGTCTTAAGTTTATACTTGCAGTCTTGGTTTGTGACAGAAATGATCATATCTTTTTCCTTATTTTTACTTTTCTTTATTACTTTGCCCAGGACCTTGGTATCATGTTACAGAACAGCAAATCTAGTAGTTATTTAAATGTGTGTCATGAGAGAATTTA